TGCTCCTGCTGCTGCTGCTGAGCTGCAGCAGCAGCAGCGCCTCTGGGTCTCTCCTGTGCATGCACAAGGCCCCCGGGGGGGCTCTAGCTGCTGCTGCTGCTTCCTGGATATTCCCCGCTTCAGGGGGGCCCCCTAGGGGCCCCTCCTTTCTAAGACCCAAGGGGCCCCGCCTGCTGCATTCTGCATGCACTGGGGGGCCCCTAGACCCTTTTGGGGGCCCTAAGGGTCCCAGGGGGACCCCAGTGGGGGGCCCCCCAGTTGCTGCTGCAGCAGGGGAGGGGCCCCCTGCCGCAGCCAGGGGGCCCCCAAGCTCCCTGGGGGGCCCCCTAGGGGTGTCGGGGGGCCCCCAGGATGCCTCAGGGGGCCCGTCAGCTGCAGCAGAGGGGCCCCCAGGATCCCAGGGGGCCCCCACTTCCGTGTTGGGGCACCCTGGGGTCCCCAATACATCCCCTGGGGGCCCCCTGGGGCCCCCTGGGGGCCCCCTAGAATCCCCTGGGGGCCCCCTAGGACCCTCGGAGGGCCCCCAGGGAACCCCCAGGGGCCCCCTGGGGTCCCCCGGGGGCCTCCTGGGGCCCCCTGGGGGCCCCCCGTTGATGTCGAATGTATCTCCTTTGCTGCAGTCTGTGGAGAAGGAGCTGCAGAAGCTGAATGAGCTGCTGATGCCTGAGGGCTGCAGCAGCGCAGCAGCAGCAGCAGCAGCAGAGTCGTTTGCTGCTCCTCTTTCCCAGGAGCAGCTGCAGGAGCAGCAGCAGCTGCTGATGCAGCTACAGCAGCAGGACGAGCTGCTGCAGCAGCAGCAGCAGCAGCAAGAAGCTGCTGCTGCTGCTGCTGCTAAAGCAGAGAAGCCTTCTTCTCCCTTCAATGAACGCCTCAATTTGCTGCTGCAGCGAGCAGCAGAAGGGCCCGGGGAGGGGGGCCCCCACCTGTACGATGTAGGGGCCCCCTTCAGGGTTTAGTACCCTTTTTAGCTGCCTAGCTGCTGCAGGTGGCTGAAGCTGCTGCCTGAGGCGCTGCTGCCGTGTCTGCTGC